GCCTTTCCCTTTTTTGAGTGTCAGATACCCCAAAAAAGACTTTCCCTCAACTAGCAACTGCCACTAATGACAACATTAACATGAAACTACATTAGGGACACCAAGCGATCAGCAAAGCAAGCACAAATATTTAGCATCAGGGATGCTAAGGGGAACTCTAAGAGAAAAGAAAATCACTATACTAGCAGAAGAAGGCTATAATCAGTGTAAGAGCATTGTAGAAAGATTGTCTTTTGGATACAGATAAATGTGAGGGCTGAAGCTATTTCTGCCTGGCGGGGAATGGAGTGGCTTTATTGCAGTTCTCACAGCAGCGAAGTGTTCTCCCTCAAAACCCTAAAAATTGACAGCTTTCAAGCTACAATGGACTAGGGTGTCATTATCATGCTGTTCCCATAAAATAGAGTAAATTAAGATGATAGAATTTTAGCAAGCTGACTTGAGGGGAGGGAGAGGAGAGACGTAAATCCAAAGCAAATGCTGGAACATCGAGGCTTTCTTGGGAAGCAGAGGAACAGACAAACAATATATATTGAACAACTTTATTTATCTACCTGCCTGAGTTCAAAGTCTGTGAACAACCAGGTCAACTAAACATCACAGAACAAACCAGAAAAAAATGAAAACTTTTAGGGACTATTTCAAAGTTATTTCTGACATGCACTAAGGGATTTTTTTTTCTTTCTTTAGCCAACACCTTTTCTTCAGATTTCTATTTTTTGGGGAGGGCAGCAAAATTGTAGGTCAATGCTTTTAAAACATGGATAAGTGTGCTGGTACGGCTGTACCAGGAGCTCCCACTTTATTTGCTTTGTATTAAATGTTTGCTTGCAGTCAGGGATTCAGGGATTCTGCAGAAAGGTGGCTTCCTTTGGTTGCAGTCGTAGGGCAAGTCACCTGTCCATCATCGTTAAGTTTTGGTTCCGCCCCTTGCTCAGGGCAATTGGGAAGGAAAGGGAGCCATTTTTAGTTAGTTTCAGCAAGGAAAGCTAATGTACAGGATGTGTGCAAGCTTCCCCTGTACAAAAGCTTCAACCCTTAAGACTTTCCAGGGGAAAACAGTCTTAAGAGTCTCCAAAGATTTCCAGGAAAACAGCCCTAAAGACCAAAGAACTCCAGCTGGAGAATATCTAAGCCTTTACTGGTAGGTCCACTCGGTGCTTCGAGACGCAGTTCGACCCGGTAGCGGAGCCCACATCAGTAAGGGTTAGATTACAGTCAGCCTGGGAGAAGTTAAAAAGGGGATTTTCCTTTAAAGTAAAGAAGAAGTTATTGAAGACAGTTGCCTGTCCTTCGTGGGCAAGATTAGGAAGTCACCAGTTGCATAAAAGCCTGGAAGCATTTGTTTAGCTTTATTGAAGTCAAGAGAAGTTTCTGTTTGATTGTTCATTAATAAAGGACTTTGTTATACTTCACAAGCCATCTGAAGATCATTTGTGGTGGAAAACCTCTGAGAACTTCTCTTTGGGGCCCCTGGCTTCCCGCTGGGCAAAGGTTGCACGTCCTGTTCTAAAGGAAATTCTTTACAGGCCCAGCGCCCAACAGAACAATAAGTTAAGATAAAGTTTTGTCCATCTATCTCCTTTTTTTTCTATTTTTCTTTTCATACATCCTCAGTAAGGAATTCCAAAGCTAGCTGCTGTTTACCTTGCTTGCTTTAAGAAGGCACTTGGCTACAAGTTGGATTGGCTAGAACAGTGGTTCTCAACCAGTGGGTCCCCATATGTTTTGGCCTTCAACTCCCAGAGATCCTAACAGCTGGTAAACTGGGTGGGATTTCTGGGAGTTATAGGCCAAAATACCTGGGGACCCACAGGTTGAGAACTACTGGACTAGAACAAAACTCTGCTCTTTTCTTTTATTGTATTTTTTCCTACTACAGATATGTGTCTGCAACTTAGCATGATTCATTCATAATTCATTTGTGTTTCTCAGCCCTCCTTACCCATTCTCCTAACGCCAATGCTGCTAAAAATCTTCTGGGCAGATAAAGGAGATCCGGGCAAGCACAAAAAACTACATAATAAGAAGCTTCTTTCCCAGGACCTTCTTATTGAAATTTGGTAGGAATTCATGAGTGTGCCCTTTCCAACAGTCCAAATTAGGAAGATGTCATCAATATATTTCAGGTACAGGAGATATGTCTAGGTGCATGTATTGAGGAAATGTTGTTCGAGGCCATCCATGAAGATGTTGGCATAGTATGGTATGTGCCTATGTCGTTACAAGTTAAATCTTGTAACCAAAAGTAAAGCTATTGTGTATGGTCCTATCTGAAATTATGTTCCTGATAGAATCATAGAATCATAGAATCAAAGAGTTGGAAGAGACCTCATGGGCCATCCAGTCCAACCCCATTCTGCCAAGAAGCAGGAATATTGCATTCAAATCACCCCTGACAGATGGCCATCCAGCCTCTGTTTAAAAGCTTCCAAAGAAGAAGCCTCCACCACACTCCGGGGCAGAGAGTTCCACTGCTGAACGGCTCTCACAGTCAGGAAGTTCTTCCGCATGTTCAGATGGAATCTCTTCTCTTGTAGTTTGAAGCCATTGTTCCGCGTCCTAGTCTCCAAGGAAGCAGAAAACAAGCTTGCTCCCTCCTCCTCCCTGTGGCTTCCTCTCACATATTTATACATGGCTATCATATCTCCTCTCAGCCTTCTCTTCTTCAGGCTAAACATGCCCAGCTCCTTAAGCCGCTCTTCACAGGGCTTGTTCTCCAGACCCTTGATCATTTTAGTCGCCCTCCTCTGGACACATTCCAGCTTGTCAATATCTCTCTTCAATTGTGTTGTCCAGAATTGGACACAATATTCCAGGTGTGGTCTAACCAAAGCGGAATAGAGGGGTAGCATTACTTCCCTGGATCTAGACACTATGCTCCTCTTGATGCAGGCCAAAATCCCATCGGCTTTTTTTGCCGCCACATCACATTGTTGGCTCATGTTTAACTTGTTGTCCACGAGGACTCCAAGATCTTTTTCACACGTACTGCTCTCGAGCCAGGCGTCCCCCATTTTGTATCTTTGCATTTCGTTTTTCCTGCCTAAGTGGAGTATCTTGCATTTGTCCCTGTTGAACTTCATTTTGTTAGTTTTGGCCCATCTCTCTAATCTGTCAAGATCGTTTTGAATCCTGCTCCTGTCCTCTGGAGTATTGGCTATCCCTCCCAATTTGGTGTTGTCTGCAAACTTGATAATCCTGCCTTCTAACCCTTCATCTAAGTCATTAATAAAGATGTTGAACAGGACCGGGCCCAGGACGGAACCCTGCGGCACTCCGCTCGTCACTTCTTTCCAGGATGAAGAGGAAGCATTAGTGAGCACCCTCTGGGTTTGTCCATTTAACCAATTACTGATCCTGACAGTTTGTAGTCCATGCTTCAGTGGGGATTCCACATCCATAGCTGCTAAGATGGTGTTCCTTGGGAGATTGTGGATGGACTGTAATTCTGTAGGAAGTTGTCAATGTCCTTCACATGCCTAGGGGTGTTGGAAGCACATGGTCTAAGGACACTGTCCATATGTCCAGAGGTACTGACTTTGACTGTTCCAGCCCTTGAGATGGGCCATCCAGCGTCACCTTGTTTATCTCAGGATGAGATGCTCTTCTCCCACACAGTCGTGTGGGATTTCTGCACAGACCGATCCTGCTCACATAGTCGTCATCTTGCTGATGAAGATCATGTTCAAAGGCAGGAGATTTGCTTTCCAAATTAGCCCCCGTGACTTAGCTGACTGACATTTTCCGTCACCAGCAATGACAGCTTGGGAACCTACCCAACGTGTGCATATGTCACGTCAAAGCAAGATGCCTACAAAAAGGAGAAAGCTACAGATACTGAGCTGATGAAAGCTAAAAACCAATGCCAAAGATGATGATGCTAAATGCAGATGGCCCAGAGCCCCACATCAATGACCGTCAATTGCTCATGTTTTGAAGGCACCCAATGATTCTTGCAATTACTATGGGGTAAATTCAACTTTGAAATTATTCACCACCACGAACAAATCTGTCCCATGAATTCATAAACTTGAAGTCATTTTTGACGCACTCTCTTTGGCTCTATGTTAATGTTCACGTATTTGCCAGTTCCTCTACTTTTTTCCCTATACTCTAGAAAACATTTTGTAATATATGTGAATTTTATGTGTTGGTGTTATGAATGTACACATGTTCCCCACTGGATTCCTCAGATACTTTACCTAAGCAGATGTCTCCACATGCACTCATGGCAAAATCTGATCCTTAGTTATATCTGAGAGCTAATGTGGTGCAATGGTTCAACTGTTGGATGGGGACTTTGGGGTACTAGGTTTCGAAACCCTCATCAGCCATGGAAAACCTGAACATATCAAATTCTTTCCCTGCCAGAGGAAGGCAATAACAAACCTTCTCTAAAGAAATCTTGGCAACAACATTCAATCATTAGATCCAATGTAGTGATTCAAGAATATAGGACCAGGGTTCAAATCCCTACTAAGCCATGAAACTCAATGGGTGCCTAAGGAAAAGTGAGATTATTTCAGCCTCAGAGGATGGCAATGGCAAACCCTTTCTGAATAAATCTTGCAAAAATCCCTATGTTATTGTAACCCTTAATTGGATTCAACATGAAGGCACGAAACAACAGTAATAATATCAATACAAAAACATATATAGGAGTCGAATGCCACATGAAGAGCTCCATGGGGCAGGAAACTGATCCCCACTTGTCAGCAGTGCCGTACTCCATTTCTAATATCAGCTGGGCTCATCTTTTGTCAAGTAGTTTTTGAAGGAAATAAAGAGGGAATGAAAGAGATTCAAATACAACATCCAAGTCTGCTCTTCAAAGAAAAGCTCTAATGTTCCAATAGCTTGGAGGAAGCCTGTTCTCATAGCTAATGCAGACTTCTGAATTTTGGAATATGCACTTCAATGATACCTATTAAGACAGAGGTCATGGCCACAGAGGAGAAAGAGATTGAAAATAAGCTTGGAAAAGCATCAACCAGTACCTAAAGGTTGGTATCCTTGTCTTGAAGGTCCCCCGAAGGCATTTCGGCTTCCGAACCCACTTCCATCAATGGAACCGTAGGACATCTTTGTCCAAGACTGCTCTGGGGGTGGAGTTCTTTCAAGCTGGAAGAAGAAAAAAAATGGCAAAATTAAAAACACATTTCGGTATATATGTGTGTATATAGTTCTGTATATGTGTATATATGTGTGTTTATATATGTGGATTTGCACATGCGTTGTAAGGTATGTATTGTCGAAGGCTTTCATAGACAAGGGTTGGGTTGTTGTAGGTTTTTTCAGGCTATATGGCCACGTTCTAGAGGCATTCTCTCCTGACATTTTGCCTGCATCTATGGCAAGCATCCTCAGAGGTAGTGAGGTCTGTTGGAACTAGGAAAATGGGTTTATATATCTGTGGAATGACCAGGGTGGGACAAAGAACTCTTGTCTGTTGGAGCTAGGTGTGAATGTTTCAACTGACCACCTTGATTAGCATTTGATAGCCTGGCAGTGCCTGGGGCAATCTTTTGTTGAGAGGTGATTAGATGTCCCTGATTGTTTCTGCTGTTTTGTTGTTTTAATTTTAGATTTTTTTAATACTGGTAGCCAGATTTTGTTCATTTTCATGGTTTCCTCCTTTCTGTTGAAATTCTCCACATGCTTGTGGATTTCAATGGCTTCTCTGTGTAGTCTGACATGGTGGTTGTGAGAGTGGTCCAGCATTTCTGTGTTCTCAAATAATATGCTTTGTCCAGGTTGGTTCATCAGGTGCTCTGCTATGGCTGACTTCTCTGGTTGAAGGAGTCTGCAGTGCCTTTCATGTTCCTTGATTCGTGTTTGGGCAATGCTGCTGCGTTTGGTGGTCCCTCTGTAGACTTGTCCACAGCTGCATGGTACACGGTAGACTCCTGCAGAAGTGAGAGGATCCCTCTTGTCCTTTGCTGAACGTAGCATTTGTTGGATTTTCTTGGTGGGTCTGTAGATAGTTTGTATGTTGTGTTTCCTCATCAGCTTCCCTATGCGGTCAGTGGTTCCCTTGATGTATGGCAAGAACACTTTTCCTCTGGGTGTATCTTCATCTTTACTCTCGTGGCTTGTTCTTGGTCTTGCAGCTCTTCTGATGTCTGAGGTGGAAATCCACAAGGATGTGGACAATTTCAACAGAAAGGAAGAGACCATGAAAATGAACAAAATCTGGCTACCAT